AAAACCCACACACGCACGCACCCGTACACACGTACACACACACATGGATACACTGACAGGCATGCAAAGCAAGAGAGACAGAGAGAGAGTCGGGCAGCGAAAGAGAAGTGAGACTACTTGTAGGTTATGGGTACGGTGCTCCAATTTCTGCCCAGCTGAAGTAAAATCCATGTACACTATTTTCGTGTAGTGTTCATTGACCGTGCCAGCCACTGGTGAGTGACCCAGTGGTGTAGGTGTTGACATTCAGCACACATCACATTTCAGTCTCCAACGTAAATATTAATTCAGTCAAAACAACACTGCACTGCAGCAACATGGGAACATGCTTCTCCCAGGCCCACCATGCAAGTGCAGTGTGTGCCAAGAACAATTCCAGGTAATTCAGCAGCTACCCAAGGATGGACAGGTTCGGCAAAAACACTCCGCGAGTGCCTCACGTTTGCAAACGAATTTTGTTGACAGTTGTTGTTTCTTCCTTCGATTGGGCAAGACACGATAATGTGCCAACCCAGCCAGCAATGAGACACATGCATTTGTATCCATCAGGGCTATTGTAAGACTTTAGAGAGTCCTTTGCATATGTGCTGGAGACATTCACTAAATATTTAGAGAGGCCTGGATACCCAACGCAGGGGGATTGGCTGAAAGGTCTTCGTCCATAGGTAAATATGGATCAATGTACTGGGCCCACGGATTCTGTCAATCTTCTCGCGGCAACGCCTCTTCAAGGCTGGAATAAACAGTAGAGTAACTACGGCTAGTAATCCTCGCGACTTACCGAAACTATTCACCACATCAAAGAAAAGCAAAAGTGCTTCACCACTGCGACGGCCTGCAACATCATTTTCAACCGTACACCGAACAACACATTTTGATTCTCTTTTTGCCACCCAAGCACATTTTACCGTAGGACACGGACTTGTCTTATGGGTGATCTTTGGGTGGACACCGGGAAGGCGCCAAAAAGGTGATGTAATGGAAAGTCCTCTATAAGGGGCCATCCGTAATTATCGATCTTTTTCACGAAACGAAAAAGTTTCGTTTATGGGTGGGTGGGTAGTGACCGGTTTCGTTTTGAAAAAACATCGAAAGCGGAAAAATCTACGCGCACTGCATGCATTGTGTACATGTGTACTTCGAAGTAGATCGACAGTACGATGCACTGATGCCACTCTGTACTCAGTGCAGTCGTGAGTTCCTTTCGTGCTCGGATGACTTCTCCGACGAGGACCTAGCAGTCATTCGCTCTGGGCCCATGGGACCGACGACAGATAGATAATACTTCGTTCCAGCCGCCGATGCAAGAGAATTTCAAATTACGGAGCGGGGCGCACGCCAAGTAAATTCTCACGCAAATATTGGGAGCGCCAGCCGCTGAAGACGATGTCGTCGTAATGTACCTGGAAGAATCTGATCGTGCTTATGGTGGGAAAGCCATGGAGAGTGATCCCCGTGTCGACAGTCTTCCAGAGACGGAAATTTAGGCCATCGACTTTCTACGTACCTGATTGACGGCAGCGCAGCGCGGCGTGTGTGCGACCTTACGGAGCTTTCCGACAACGATTCTGGGGCGATGCTGCTCTCATTTGCGAGCGAGGCACGACCACTGAAGTCTGTGATAGCTATGGCGTTTGTTTCCGCTCCGAAGTCGACTTGTTTTGGCAGTATCATGTCAATGTCGGAACTCTGACGATTTGCATGTGTACTATTCCCGTGTTTAGACGTAGAGGTGCCAATTATTTAGCAGCGTATGTGTGTGGTAGGTGAACATAAATGTTTCCATGGTCGAGAAGTAGTACCAGACTTCCAAGAAAATATATCTGACTTGCACTATCATACAAAATGTGGCCTCGCTTTGAGCTATTGGCATCATTCAAAAATGTTACGGATTTCATATACAAAAGTAACTATTACTCGCCGCCCCCGAAGTTGCCGGTAAAGGGCATTACTTGCATGCGAAGGATATGTGTGTGTTGTAACAGCCAATCAAGATCATTTTCTGCACGAAGTCTCAAGTCAATTAATTTTTTCGTTTCAGGGGGGTGGGTCATAACTAAACTTTTTCGTTTCGTGAAAAAGATCGATAATTACGGATGGCCCCTAATAGTCCTCAAGGACTGCAAGGACTTTGCATCAATCGTATATGATTGTCTAGCTATCATCAATTATTATTTTATTTCATGAGAAATGTATTTTATCCCTGTGATAATAATATTATGTGAACTCCACGACACTCTTCCTGTAGTATGATGTCAAATACAATGGGATCCACAAACGCAGTGCCAGTGTACTAGTAGTAGTAGGAGTAGGACTAGTAGGAGGATTGCTCGTATGCCAATGACAAGAAAAAGCTTTTCAAGCTAATACTCGTATTCCCTGAAGTAACCGTTTTGATGTCACGAACATGACATTGTGTCAGTGAAACTGCCTCGTGACAACAAATCATTGCATTTCCATCTTGGGGAAGACTGACTGACAGCAACGCTATACAGATTGTTCAAATCATCTCATTTCAATTTAGTTGCAGTGAAGTGAAACACTGTGTACACTACATGTATGTTGGTGTGTCTGTGCGTCTTGAGTGTGCACAAACGATCTTATTCCTCGTATTACTAATAGATTATTGTCCCCACCGTCACCTGTTCACAGGTCTTTGAGTGGATGGATTTTCATTGAGCATCACATTCGTTGAGAACTTGGTAGTTGTGTGCTCCCATGCATCATTACGGTAATAAGAAGAGTCCATAACCCCCAGAGTGTGCAACTCGTGATCCTTCTCAGCACAAATCAGTGCCGCAACGAAATCCAAACTTCATACGTCATGTAGTGAGTAGCTATGACGAAATGGGAAGTTTGGCCCGGACCTACTTCGCCCGTTTGCCCAATTTGGGGTCTTTCTTTACGAATCCACGGTCAGGTATTGTACGTTAAAAAAAAAACACGCCTGGAAAGGCTCAAGTACACAAAGAATTATTTTAGAGTTGTCGAACAGTTTTCTCTTTTGAGTGTCTCTCCGATAAGAGAAGAACAATGGCCACTGTTGAACCTAAAGCAAAGCGCTCCCCATTGTCGCCGGAGTGCAGTGTCTCTGTGGACGATATTCGTCAGTTTTTGCTCGATCTGGGCTCCTCATTTTCTTCTCTCGATTGTCGAGTGTTGGAAATTGTTAATTCTTCCAGCACCTGGATAGAGATTTATTGCTCGAAGTCTGTGCTTCTCACATGCAATGGAACACCCGTCAATTTGAACCGTCTGGTTGTGAACCCAGCAGGAACATTCACTGCAGGTTGAAGCACATCTACTTCGAAATCGATCGGGTCTCCATGCCGTGTGCCAAGAGCTATTTCCATCAAATCTTGTAAATCTATATCCATGCCTATTCTTGCTATCCCGGAGTCACGAACTCTCCCAATACAAGCTTTTCAGACAACGAGCAGAGAAACTCTCTTCAAATAAATAAATTCTGTGACTGTGAAATCAAAGCCGTTCTGCTGACACTGCATAGCCCGTGCAGCAAACGTTTTACGTGACAATTCCGTGGCTTGCTTCAAAGCAACCTTCAACTTGGAACCCCCGCCGGATGTACCAGATATGCACATGGGGATATGGCCCCATCCGCCCATGTTTGCCCGGGGACCGGATGACGCAATGTTTGGATTTCGTTGCGCCAGACCCCAACCTGGAGTTGCACACTCTGGGGGGTTATGGACGCTTGGTAATAAGCATATCCTTGTGCTATCTATTTGTTGCAGGTGTGCTGATCTTCAGAAGCTTGCGGAACTAAGTGCTGCTGAACATTTGCATGGCCATGAGCAATGGTGAAGCTTGCTATTGCACTCTCAGCATGTGCTAGTATTATGCTGACCACTGCACTATGTTACTCTCTTACACTACTACGTGTATGTAAACGTGCGTGTACCCGTCCCCGTAGGCATTCGTTTCGTATAATTATTTGTTATCCCTCTTGACTTTACATGTAAATGGGTGGACGTTTGCATGGCTGTTGGAGTTGCGTGTGTATTGTGTCTTTACTCTTTTCTTGGTGTTTTCTTGGCGTTGTATAAGTTTGTGTGTGTGTGTGTGTGTGTGTGCGCGCGCGCGCGCACAATAATTTGAAAACGAATAATTAATCCTGGGCTCTCCATTATTCTCTTTCGATTCTTGGGTTTTTTCTAGGTATATTCTTGGCGTTGTGTGGGTGTGTGCATGTGTGTGTGCGTGCACAATTTTGGCAACACTACATGATTGAGACATTGTAATTTGCAGCGTCTGCGAAGAGACCACTTGATTTCAGGATGGTGTTTGTAGGGTTTTCATGTAATGAAGTGGCTGCAGTGGCGCCTCAATACATATTTTTTTATCTTGAGAAGTGAATGATGTAAAGGATTAAAGAGAGAGGCCGTTTTCTGGTTAATATTCACTGCTTACAGCAGATCCTATGTCTAATTTCGAACTCGATAGGGGATGCCTAATTGGCTGGACTTTATACAGGGAGTGTTGTCCACATAAACTATGATAAAGACTCTTTATAGTTGATTTCAAAGTTTGGACTCCGTACAGTTGATTTTGGACCAATGGACTCTATATAGGGGTGAAGCCAATTGGCTGGACTCTATACAGGGAGCGATGTCCATCGAAACTTTGAGCCACAGTTGATTCCAAGTTTGGACTCTGTACAGTGGATTTTGGACCAATGGACTCTATATAGGGGTTGGACATCATATAGGGGCTGGACGCTCTACTGAGTCCAACACGTCTTTTGGGAAGTGTGACTTCCCTCCAAGGACCTCTTCTTAGAGTAGAGTCTGAATGGCTCACAGAGTCGCAAGACCCATCTGAAATGTTTGCCAATCAGCCGTGTTGCTAGTATTAGTATGGACAAGCACAATCCTCAATGTTTACACTGGGGAATATGGAATGAATTATCTCCATCACCGGTTGGATTACCTCATAACCAGATACATGGTGAATTTACTTGTAATGATGCCCCTCCTCACCTTGTTCTTGATGACCTTTGTGATGTCTTCGCCGTAACGATTCCGCAAACACGGTCCACAGAACTGCAAGAACACACACGCGCACACACACGTGCGCACACAAGCAACAGTTGCATCACAGCTCCCGAACCTAGCATCACGGTAACACAGAGCTTCAGGCCCAGAGGATTGGCAAGCGGAAAGAATCGTGCAACCGAGGACACTACCAGCGAATTTGCCTGTGTAATGTCAGTGCACTGAATCAAAGCAGCGTTACATGTAGGTTGTAGTTCTACTAGAAGTAGAGGTGATGCGAATCACTTTATTGTGTATGCATTGTATGGCGTGGCAAACTCATGGTCATGGTGCCACTACATACAAAACAAGTCAGATGATTAGAATTATTATGATTGCGTACTAATCACCCCTGTAGGCTTGGACATATGCGCCCGGACGTTGCTGCTGCAAGCCGATTTAAAATGCTTTGCTGTTCATTGGGCCACGTTGCGATCGGTTTGACTGGTCAATCTGAGCCGCTCTGCGAATGAGACCTAAGAAGGTGGAAACAGCTAACTGGCCGTAGATTGAGTACTTCAAAAAATGGGAGAAAAAAAAGCATAAAGTAGAGTCAAGTAGGCTTGGAAAAGCATGATTATTGATTCACGCAACCGTCCTATTTGCATTGCTGTGCATGCTGCGGTCTAACACTAGACCAGTATCAGCACAGCCTCAGGAGCATGCATGCAGTCAAGAGTACATAACCCCCCAGAGTGTGCAACTCCCACATACCCTGTTGTCCCGACAGAATTTCAAGTTGACGTCATTATTTATGACGCAATGCTCCTTGCAGCAGTGATTTACAACATGTGTACGGGTGTCAACGCATCACACGTTCTTCTTTGCAATAATTTGTACAGGATCGATCGGCTTCGGTCAACCACAGGTTCCGGATTCGTCTGATAATCCGTGTACAGTGCGCATTGCATCATCAAAATGACGTCAACTTGAAATTCTGTCGGGACAGCACCCATAGTGGAGTTGCACACTCTGGGGGGTTATGTACTCTTGATGCAGTGCATACAGTACACACACACACCTGTCCTCGAACACCAATGCAGCTGTCTCCGTGGCATGTAGTCTTCAAGTCCAGCGTTTTCTGGCGGCATTGATGGCATGATGTACCCTGCAGGTACAGAATTAAGTGCGCGCATGTACAGTTTGTGAGTAAAAGTTGCGGCCACCCAGGTTGTGGAGAAAATAGCCCTAAAAATGTTGACAACATAATCTACCCAGGACTGCACTTTGTGGGCTTCCTGGTTTGACAGAAACACTTGGTATTTGAACAAACTGGTGTCCGTCCCGTAGAATACATGTACAAATAGTAAGCTACAGACTTTTAAAATAAGGACTATGATTGGTTGGCTGTGGCATCAGCTTGTATGGCCAGTTCATTGAGAACGACTCCAGAAACTCACGTCCTATCTGTGGCATGCGATGGACATTTCCGCTCGGATACCGGTACTCACATTGATGGGATCGTAGACCTTCGCTGATGTGACTAGCGCCACTGTGGCATCCTCTAAAGCCAAGTTAGAAAGTGGGCCAAGCGAACGGCGGGTGCGGCTCGCTATCGAATCCCCGCCGACCTTTCTTTCCTGGAGAGAGAACAGAATAGACAGGCAGATAAATCAGGTCAGCCATTTTGAGGCAAGCGGAATGTGCTAACAGGATGCGATGTCGGCAGGTAATGTAGAAGAAAAGGCAGCTGCTCCTATTGTAACGTAGGTGCTCGCGCATCCTGCCGACTGACTGACTCACAGGGAAGGTTCACGTCGAGCAGATATATTAGGTGCAGGTCACTTTATTGTGTCCAAAAGTTTAAAAAAACGAGATGGCCCCTTAGGCTCCAACCGCACTAGGTAAAGAATATACGCATGTAAAAGGTGAACATATTGTGTATATTGCAGCCAGCAGCCGCACTGCAAGTTGTATATGCATCTTTCCCGCCCAACCACCAGAAAACGTCGTATCCGGTGAGTATTGAGGTGCATGACATGAAAAATATGGTACATGTGGGAAAAAGCTGCGTATACAGCGTCCTCGACTTGCTGAAACATAAATGGATCGTTTTAGATTTCCCGTGTGTGTCCTTGACGGCCTATACCAAAAAACGGCATTTATAGCACATGCATATATTTTTTACCTGGTGCGGCTGCAGCCTTAATAATATTGCAATGTAATTTGTTGATTTAATCTGCGTTACCAAGTACAGTCAAAACCTGATGAGATATACCCACAAGGGAACACGGACAAAGTACTTACTCTCCATTTTGCAAAAATGTTGTCAAAAAACATGATGCATATCTTTGCACTTTACACCATTTTCTGCTGATAGTCAACCAGTCTGCAGACACGCTGTGACCAACCGCGCGTAGGTGAGCGCGAGTAGAGTTCACAGAGTGCACGCAACAAGGTCAGCACTCGTGCTGATCCAGGACATGGTGATGTGAGTGCAGAGTTTGGATCGGCCAAGAGCGCAATGTGGTGGTGTGGTGTATTGAACTCAAAGTTTGACCCATTTTAATGGCCAAAAGCTAGAAGTCCATCTTTTTCTAAATGGACTGTAATTTGCACCAAAATGTGTAGAGTGCACAAGGGTCACTCACCCTGGCTTCAGAGACCACCTCGGTGCAAAGGCCACGACAGGCCGGTCCCATGGATAGGCTTCCGTGGAATATGCCGGCATGATTTCGGGAATTATCGGTCTGATTTTTAAAACAGGAATTATTGGCAATTTTTGTGGAATAATGGTAAAATTTGAGCAATGCCACCGTTTTTTCAATTTTTTCATTTATAACACCCTGATTTGTACCAAAAAAGCTTGTGGTCCTGCAGTTGTTCGCCCTGTCTTTCAAAAAAAAGAAAGAAAAAAGGTTCCAGCCGAGTCTCACGCGAACCGTGAATTTTTTGCCCGTACAAGTGGCAACAATACCCGTACGCGGTACGGTATCTGCAAAAAAGGGAAGAAAAAAAGCATTATTGCAAGAATTATTGGTGAAATTACGGGAATAATTGGTCGAAATTTTGAGCAGTGCTCAAAAGAATTATCGGTAAAATACGAGCATATTCCGCGGAAGCCTACCCATGGACAGTCGTTAGTACCGGGTTTCACCACTATACCGTATGTCTACACCCATTTCATTTCAGGTTTCTGTACGAGTCATACTTATACAGTGGTCCCTTTATAATCCGGCACCATTTGTGCTGCAGAAATTCTGCTGGATTAGAAAATCTGATTCACTGCTGCAATGTGCATGAAAAGGATATTTTGGTTGCTGGAAATTATGCTGGTTTAGGCCAAGTAAAAAAAAAAGCTAGATGATCGTCCCCGTCCGCCCCAGTTTTTGTCAGCGCCCCAAGAAATATTTTATTTTTTAAATCGTGAGTTTTTGCCGAAATCGTTGGTTTTTTACCGATCGCGGATGCAGGAAACATGTGCACGCTTTGTTTAATACTTTCTTTACTATATGGACCACATACTACTAGTATATCACAACGTCAGTATCGATCTGCTGAAGAAAGAAAAAGAAAAAAAGAAAAAAAAAGAAAAAAAGAGAAAAAAAACCTTGATGTTGTTGTGTACACTGTGTGCATGAGAGGGTAAAAAGTAAAAAAATAAAAATAAAATCCTCCCGCCCTCCCCGATTTTTCCAAAAAAAAGGACGATCATCTAGTAATTTTTTTTACTCGGCCTTATAGAGGGTGCTGGTTTATAAAGTGTTGGATTAAAGAGGGACGGCTGTAACAAAAAAGAATGCACGACATTGCAGATACGGTATGTTACACTTTACCTTCTTCAGTGAATACTGTTGTCTAGGGATGCTGCTGTCCTTGCCCATAAGACGTGGACTGCGCCGCACTGGACCCCGTGCTGCCGGCGACCTCATGTGGCTCACCGACTTGCTTCTGGGTGCTACCTATCAACGCGCACAGGAGAGAACACAAACAGCACGTGAGCTGGCGTGTCTGGCGTCGAGGCATGTCCGTGCTTGCAGCAGTCCGTACACTGACTGCTTGCATATGCCGTAGTATGCGGCCCATAGAGCGTAAGGCTGTGGTACTGAATGGTGGCATAAGTGCCTAATTCCCGGGTTATGCCGAAGGGCATGAGAAACGATGAAAGCCCTTGGGAATATGCATGTTTTATATGGGTGTTTGGCTACTCCCTTTTCCGAACATACTCCCCATCCAAGCCCCCTGGCGAGTGCCCCATGCACAGGGCGGTGTGGATAATTTAAGCTCTGCCGTATCCTAAAGTTTACCTCTAAGTAACTATGCGTTCATACATGCGATGCAAAGGGAGCTACACAAGCAAGCAGAACACCTGGTACTGGGGAGTAGTAAGATTAGTACCCCGGGGGCACTATTTTCAGTGTCCATCACAGATGGGGCACTATTTTTTCAATGCTGGTACATTTGCGTCATCCAGCATGAAACAAAGAAAAACAGAGCCTAAAGTGCACTGTAAACTATCACGACTCAACAGAAACGGCAACAAGAACTGCGATGTTGATCCTGAAAACACCATTGCAGTGACACAGCCAAGAACATTAGCAAAAGAACACCAAACTTGCACATACGCTCGGTTACAAGCCGGGGGGGGGGGGGGCACTATTCAAGAGAGGGCTTTATTTTATCACTGGCTCTTAGAGACTGGGCACTGTTCGAGATAGGAGAGGGCTGTAATCGTGCGAGTACGGTACTCTAGTCTCAAGACAAGACTCAGACTCCTCGTATATACTGGCACTGAGAGATGAAGGCTAGTTACACGCAAAAAGCGAGAGTTGATAGTCTATGAGTGTGAGTGGGCACGGGGTGCACACAGCATACAGAACAATTGCTGAACTGACTGAGCGGCTCATTGTCACACACTCTCGGCAAAGAGGGAAAAGCAAACATGGCTAACTTACTAGTGTGCGTTTCTTGGGCGCTATATCACGCTTGAGCTCTGCCAGTTCATTGTCTGGGAATAGCTCTCGAAGCTAAAGGACAAAAAAGAAAGAAAAACAAAAACCAGTGCATAATGCCATCAGCAGCATGGTACTATACTGCAACCACCTCATCATTATTATTGCGAAAGCCAGACCGCAGCTCCTTCTACATAGTCTGCAATTGTGGGCGGCGTTCCAGGAGACTACAAGACTTGTGCCGTCATTGTCCCTACTGCTTCGGACCTGCCCAGCCCCCCCCCCCCCCCCCGCAACCCTAAGCATGATTAGCCTAGGCTATAGACTCCAGCAACATGTTGATGCCGGGTGGCCAACTGGCACTACAGAATCTGATAAGGGACCCGTTTTATTACATGTACCTACATCAGGATACGGATGACTCTGTCAATGCTGGTGATTCTGTCTAAAACATCCTCAAGCAGAACCACCCAGATGGCCAACCTCTCCATGGGGAGGCAATCCAGTGAGGGTTCAGCCACCTCCTCCACCTCACCCGGCAGTGCATCATGAATCGCTCACAAGAGAAGTCATCCGCAAAGCCGGCCGCCTTGCACACATTTGGAGCAGCAGGTCCCTCAGGGTCGACCTGAGTTCCTGGAGGCGCACTGTGTGCACTGGGTTCTCCACAGCGTTGGACCGTCTCTGCGATGGACTGGCCAGTTGTGCTCGCCGCCTGGCAACCGTATTTGTTGACCCGCACTCCCTAGACGCATATACAGCGTGTCGGCTTATTCCACTAGATAAACGATCCGGTGTCCGTCCTATCGGGATAGGCCGGGAAGTTGTCCGCCGGATCATCGGAAAAGCCATTCTGTATGTCATTGGTGACGACATCCGGAATGTGGCAGGACTCTTGATGCCTTCAACTCTGTGCTGGCCACGATAATGGCATCGAAGCAGCCATCCATGCAATGCGATCCGTCTATGACAGCCTCGAATGCGAAGAAATACTGTTGGCTGATGCATCCAATGCATTCAATGCCCCCAGCCGGCAAGTCTGTATCCGAAATATCCAGCGGCTACGTCCAACTATGGCCAATGATTATGTCATCAATACCTATCGTCATCCAGCATGTCTGTTTGTCGGTGAGACAATCATGTCCTATGAGGGTACGACCCACCGGGGAGATCCAATCGCAATGCTCATGTATGTGCTGGGTAACAGTGACCACTGATACAGTAGTGATACAGTGCGTCCTCCGCCTTGTCACATTAGTGCTGTCATTGACATTGTCAAACATGACACATACATGTACATGTACATGTGCATTGTATGTATATGTTCACGTACATTGGCCTACATTGTCGTACTACTACAAGCACAGCCATGCAGCATCATACTTCTGTAGTGATACCATGGATACTGCTTTTAGACGTTTTACTGCTTCAAAAGTACATGTAAGTAAAGTTACAATCATCAATGACATCATAGCAGTAGTACAAGCAAGGCCTATACAGGCACGCCATGGTGATAGGGCCTGACGGTGACCTGATGGAAAAGTGACGATACTGTGTCCACCAACACCGCACCGAGTCCTCAGTCCGTAAAATGCCCGGTCAGGAAAAGAGGGAGGCATCGATGACATTTGAAAAGAACATCAGTTGCCGGATGTGATGTCACGTATTCAAAGCACTTCAACTTTCAAGCAGAATGATGGCATCTTCTAGTTCGGTGTGTACGCCGCCTGTATCACGGCAATCTACAGTGCTGGCAACTGAAATCCGACCCCCTTGGCGGCGCGCCGCCAAGGGGGTCGGATTTCAGTTGCCAGCACTGTAGTACATGTACATGTACATACTAGTACACTGATGAGGGGATTGCAGAAAAAGCCAATACTGTACTTATTGCTTCACGTACATGTACTTGTAGAAAAATCAGTCAGTCACTAGGCCGAGACAGATCCTGCCAGCAATTCTTTCGGCAAAATATCGAAGAATTTAAAAAGCGGAAATTGCCGGCAAAATCGGAGCAAAACATCGAGATTTTGGGTAAAATCGATGCCTGATACAGTGTACTTGGATTTCCTTGTTTCTTACCCGTTCAGCATGATGCACTGCCAAGGACGTGATCATGTCACCGAAATACAGTAGGTATCGGTTATAGCGTGGGTGTTTGAAAAACGACTTTCTATTCTTATTTCCGATATTTCTTAAACACGATAAATCAAGTGTGACGTAATTATCATGTGCATGTGCGCAGAGGCAGGAAGATCATCGTACATGCAATGTAGTGTAACGGTGCATGCGGCTGGTCATAGTCACATAGGCTTACCATGTGGCTATGCAACATGAGTTACATGACCACAACAGTTGAACCTGCAGCACTACGACCCAACGCGAGTCAGATCGGAACTGAATTGGACGGATATTATTGCAACAGGCGATATACTTTGTACTAATCTGGTATGTTTTGCTACACAAAGTCCATTCTTAGGACCGATATATTCTACTGTACGATAAAATGGCTTGTAAGAATAAATTTGCACTTGAAAATTTGAAATCCATGTTATGATTATGAAAACATGAGAGTTCATTCTTGTAGGCAGTATATTCTTTTACACGACCACACTATAACCGATACGCACTGCCACTGTACATGTATCACTGGGATTCGCTGTGATTTGAAGAACCCAGGCCAGGGACACGTGTGTGAAAACCCGTGTTGAGAAACCGACCGTGCGATTTTTATGAAACGGTGTACGGGAAGAGGATAAACTACATTGTACACGGTTTTCAGGAGTAACATGGACCAAAATGTCGGGTTTCTCGCAGTGCCACTACCAGGCTCAGCAAAATATTGAAGATTTCGCAGCAACATTTTGCGGTAACATACCGAGGCGACCGGAGCAGAATCTGTCTGGGCCTATCAGTATTATATCCAGTGGTATCAGTCACAATACCCACAATTGTGACCAAGACAAATATGGCATGCAGTTGCCTTATATGAAGCCTAGAGAGTGGAGGGATTCAAAAGGGGGCTGGGAGCACTCACATGATAGGAAGGAAGTAATAATTATTATTAGTTTAATTACTTACAAATGCATTCCTCTCCTCTATCATCTGCTCTCGGTGTAGTTCGTAAGGGCTGAGAGCCATGCTGAGCTTAGATAAGAGAACAATGGGAAAGATGATATGATTATTTCAAGCTTCGACAAATAATATTTCGAAAGTGAAGATCGAAAATTCAAATGACTTCATGTTCAAGACAAGCAAGTACATGTACTGTGTACCGGTGAAAGTAAAAGTTTCGCAAGACGTTTTTCAACTTCGACATCACGTCAAACTCCCACGTTTACGTTTCCTCGACCGCCGACGCGCTACCGCCCTCGACCCATTCCAGGCCCCGCCCCGGCCGTAACCGACGCGTCGACGACCAAATGTGCCAAGCTCGGTACGAGCGGACCTTTTGTAACCAGGTAACCCCCCCTTTCTGGTAGCACGTGCACCTGACAACCGGTACCCCAGTCTTTCCCGCCAGTGTGTGTACTATGCATGGTGTACGGCAGGTACGCTGCATACCGAAACCACATGTACCGAGTCCACATTTTTCATTTCGGCCTGATCTTCACCCTGTTCACTGCCTTCCAGGCCGCACAGGCTCGCATCAGCGTCTGTTCGTACGCCAAAAGAGTTGTAACAGGCTCGTACGGTGTCCAGGCGAGCACAAAGGTTTCTTATGGTGCGTCAATCATGGTCATGCGACTCTTCACGGCCTCAATGCCATCACGAAAGAGTTGATGCTCAATAATTGTGGCTCGGGGCGTCTATATTTGGGCCGCTTTGACTTTGACAAGAAAGCCAGATTGTTTACTGTTTGATGTGTTGTAGTCCAGTCGGTGTGTTTTGTTCGTGTGACTGTTTCCTGACCAAAGCAATTTCGGGTGCTGTTCACTGAACCTCTGCTCTGCGATAGCAGCCTCTCGAAGGAGTTTTCCGTATGTTCTGCTGACTATTTCGTGAAGAGATCTGCACCGTGTTGTTATTCTAGCCATATCTACAAGATTAGTGCTCGTCAGATGAGTTATTGAAAAGTAAAGCTCTTTCATGGGATTTGGAATGGCAGGAGAAGATCTCAGGTAGAGCACGGAGTATGGCTCGAGTCCTACAGAAAATCTTAGCTGTTGCTGATGTGGATGTTTTGCCGTCGGAGAGAAAGTCAAAGGTGCGTTCCGGATTGTTCTCCCACCGTTTTAAAATTGCTGTCAATTGATCCTTTTCAAGTCAAGTAAATGTAGTTCTCTTCCCTAATTATGCTGGGAATGGTCGCGAAATCCTATGTGTACCCGGATTGTTTGATTTCATTTTCAGATCAGCGGCTACCTGACCAATTTCAGTGATTTGCTCCTCGATCAGGATTACCATGGTTGTCTTCGTCATGTTAGTGCTATAATAACTGAGCTCGAACCTCAGTATGCTAACCAATCTGGGCCCAGTACGTTGGTGGACGTGTTGCTGGCTCGATCTGCGCTGAACTTCAAGCTGGGCCACTTTGACGACTGTTTCAGCGATGCTCAGAAAGCTTTGCGTCGTGATCGCGTATCACTTGTGGTGAGTGAGTCACGTTGAAACACCCTTGTGAAACTAGGTTCAGAGTTTTTTTGTGTGAAAGACATGCACATGTATTTTTGGACATCTTTAAATCTAATGTTTTTAAACGTTGCTCATCATGCCACAGGACTGAGAAGCACAAGTGATCGCCAACCGTGCTGCACTCGTGTGCCCGCCTGGTCACAGAGATCCCGCCATTACATCCAGGTGTTAACATGTTGTCCCTTTGCAAGTTAGATGACGTCATGCGGCGCAGAGCCACGATGCGTGAGACGACGTCATGCGGCGCAGAGCCGCGATGCGTGGAGTGGGTAACTGTGGAAAGCTAGTGGTCTAAGTTCACCCGGCACCTTAAGAGCACCATTTAGGGCAACTATGTATCGAGAAGCCATGCATTGGCATGCAGAAGCTAAAACATTCGAAACAACCCCACATGCTTTTCAACACCGGGTGGCGAGGCAGGCATTTACGTGCACTGTAGGTCAACAAAATCTGGGCCAAACTTCCGAAAAAGCGTGTAAAGGGCTGCATAAGTAAGGGGCCATCCGGAATTATCGATAATTTTCACGAAACGAAAAAGTTTAGTTATGACCCTCCCCCACCCACCCACCCCCATGAACGAAAAATATATTGACTTGACAGCTGAAATGGACTGATGTTTCAGCTATCAATATTTTTCATAACGAAACTCTCCTCAACCCACCCACCCATGAACGAAGCTTTTTCTCTACGTGAAAAATATCGATGATTACGGATAGCCCCTAATGTGGTTTGCTGCTTACTAAACACTGTACAGATAGTTCTGTGCATTCATAGAGCAGCTCTCCAGGGTCAACTCTGTGAGTGTTTGATGCTTGAATTGGAGGTTTTCGGCGATTGCCAACGTGTGTGCTTACGAAAATTAGTTGATTTAAGTTTATTTACAATTAAAAGAAAGGACCAAAATGTTACATGTTATCCATAGTGTGTCCAACACTAACGGTTGATTGACAGTACCGCATCCCAGAAGGTGGTGAGTACATGGATGGGAGTTGGTCTATAGTGTACAGTCTGGGCCTTATCCAATGCAATGCAACGGCTGCCAGGATGCGGTCCGGACGTCCGACAGTATTGTATACTGAAAATGCAGCTCTCTTGCTCACTCATATTGAAGATCCCTTTTTCATGTCAACGCCCTTCAGCCTGACCTGTCCTGCATTGCAGGATGTGGTGACTTTGCCAAGTATTAGAATTTGCAGACCTAACCAATAGTCACAAGTAAGCGAACAGTATCATCGGTGGAGAGGTAGTGAGCAGCAGTTTAACCCTGGCGGTCTTTCCTGTGGAGAGGTAGTGAGCAACAGTTTGATGGCTGTCTTTTGTTGTTGATGACATTTATTCTTTTTGGTTACTTTTTGTCTTTTCTGTTGTTGTTCCCGTGCTGTACAGGCCTTTCATCTCTCTTTCCTGGCACTGCGTGAGCTGGGTGAGCTGGTCAAGGCCCTGGCCTACTTGTGCAAATGTTACTCCTTAGCCAGCCTACAGCAAAGGGGGTCCGGTGCTGCTCGCGGAGGAGACCAGGCGCAGGAGAACAATCAGTACGAAGGGTCCAAGAACGAGAGCGGCCGCCTGTCTGCGCATGGCGACACGCTGGATATCATCTCGCAGGCGAATCTCACCGACTCCAAGAATCTGCGCATGGACACGCTGCGCACAGAGCTGTTTCACTTCGCCCTGCGCACCATCCAGCACGTCCCGGACGCTTTGGATGCGGCCAGTTCTGCTGTTGGTGAGTTAGGGCATACCCTGTGTTCGTCCGGGCTCTGTCCACTATAATTAGTACTAATTTAAATTTGCTTTGATGTACTAGTAGTTCAGAAGGGACCGAAGCCCATTGTTGATCTGATCTATGATATGTCGGCGGCTCGCCCTCATACTGTAGGGTGTCGTGCACGGGTGTGATTTTCCGCTTGACTTGCCATGCCATGAGCGGCACTTTTCCATACGCATGGTGCGTGGCAATGCTGTTGCGGTTGTGTGTGATCAGCAGAAAAGCTTGAATTGGGAATTTGTGTGCTGCTACTAATGCTAGTATTTGGATGTGCTGTGCCCGGCAACTGAGGCAAACACATACCACTTCATAGCCATCTATGGCACTACCGAGTAGTCAAATGTCACTTACTTGTACTAGCCTGCTATCCAAGCACATCTGACATCCGACAAGCCAGGGAGTACTGAAGTTATGACTACCTGTTGGGAGCCTTGATCCTGCCAGTGCGGCGATCCAAAGTCAGTGGGGAGAAGTACTAAATAGTATTCCCGTAGCTATGCAAAAGACGTTACTTCAGTAACGTCTGGCGCTAGCCAGGGTCCACACAGCTTTAATTCCCGTAGCTATGCAGAAGACGTTACTTCAGTAACGTCTGGCGCTAGCCAGGGTCCACACAGCATTAATTCCCGTAGCTATGCAGAAGACGTTACTTCAGTAACGTCTGGCGCTAGCCAGGGTCCACACAGCTTTAATTTGGTGTTTGTGTCACGCCTGGCGCTATCCCGTACCGTACCATCAAACACAGCTGGCCACATACAGCTGGCCGCAATATTCAAATAGGGCTCTCAAACGCAAGATCATAACGTGAAGCAACTTGGAAGAATGAGTATGAATGCAAAGTGTATGGGGGAATAGTGCGGGTTCGAATCCCAGGTTATGCCAAAAAAATAGGAGAATTGAAAAATTTATAACATCCCTATGCTTTTTTTTCCTAGGTCATCAAGGCGGTAGACGGTGTCGTGTTACCCTCGACCGTACCTGTCCCGTACCGTGCCATCAAAAACGGCTGGCCACAATGCATATTCAAATAGGGCTTTCAAATGCAAGATCATAACGTGAAGCAACTTGGAAGAATTAGTATGTATGCGAAGTGTATCGGGGGATGCATGCAGGGCGATAGTGCGGGTTCGAATCCCAGGTTATGTTTAAAAAAAATACATAACATCCGTATGATTTTTTTTGTCTAGGTCATCAAGGCAAAAAAGCAAAGCGTAGGGCCCTGAGCTTCCAAGCTCTCTCGTTTGGTGTTTGTTTGTGTCACGCCTGGCGCTATCCTGTATCTGTCCCCGTACCATACCATCAAACACAGCTGGCCACAATATTCGAATAGGGCTTTCAAATGCAAGATCATAACGTGAAGCAACTTGGAAGAATGAGTATGAATGCGAACAAGAGTTCATAACCCCCAAGAGTGTGCAACTCCTGATCAGTCCCTGTTTGGAAGCCCGCTCGGCGGAATTCCTTCATTGCGTCATTTTTGGTGCAGTGCGATGAGTCACGCCGATGAATTCTTCTAAAATTTCCAGTCAAACCAGGGTGCTTCCCCAGGGTAAACTGCCTAAACTGTGATTCTAGTCTGAGCCTCGAGTCAAGAAGCAAAAGTGAAACAAAGTATGCACACGAAAGACAAAACTATTTTTTCGATGCAATGGTGACTCTTCATCGCCTTCTTCTCTCACCAGTGCAGTCAGTCTCTTTAAGAACAATTTCTTCCCCAGGCCATCGGCATATTTCTGGTGCTTTCCTGGAAGATAATTTCAAATGGTTGAGGAACTGGAGAATACGTCGAAGGAGCATTTTTCGACTGAGTTGCACAGCTATCAGAATGATTGTCCTCGACGGCAATGCAATATTTTTAACAGCGTCCTCACTTCTTCCTGTCGCGATGTCCATGGATTCTTGGAGAAAGAGTTTGTTTTTGAGAAAGTACGACTTGTACGTCCGAAATGTCTTCAAAAAAAGCTTCGAAAAGTCGAGGCTACAGCCTTGAGTTAGGGGCGGTTCAGGGTATAGTTTCCAGAAATCGCAAAGAACCCAAATTTACCTCGGATGACAAGCTGCGCGTGACATAATGTAGGAATTTCGCCGAGCGCTGGGTCTATGCCCGTTGCACACTCTTGGGGGTTATGAACTCTTGATGCGAAGTGTATTGGGGAATGCATGTAGGGCGATAGCGCGGGTTCGAATCCCAGGTTATGCCTTAAAAAAAATAGGAGAATTTTTTTGCCTAGGTCATCAAGGTGGCAGGCGGTGTCGTATTACCCTCGACCGTATCTGTCCCGTACCGTACCATCAAAGACGGCTGGCCACAAACAGCCGGCCACGATATTCAAATAGGGCTTTCAAATGCAAGATCATAACGTGAAGCAACTTGGAAGAATTACTATGTATGCGAAGTGTATTGGGGGATGCATGCAGGGCGACAGTGCGGGTTCGAATCCCAGGTTTTGTCTTGGAAAAAAATAGGAGAAATGAAAAATCCCTATGCTTTTTTTTTTGCCTCGGTCATCAAGGCAAAAAAAAGCATGGCGTAGGGCCCTGAGCTTCCAAGCTCTCTCGTTTGGTATTTGTTTGTTTGTGTGTTTGTGTCACGCCTGGCGCTATCCCGTATCTGTCCCGTACCGTACCATCAAACACAGCTGGCCACATACAGCTGGCCGCAATATTCAAATAGGGCTTTCAAACGCAAGATCATAGCGTGAAGCAACTTGGAAGAATGAGTATGAATGCGAAGTGTATGGGGGAATGCATGTAGGGCGATAGTGCGGGTTCGAATCCCAGGTTATGCCTGAAAAAAAATAGGAGAATTGAAAAATTTATAACATCCTTATGTTTGTTTTTTCCTACAGTAGACTCGTACACCCAAGAACCCAAGAACCCAAGAACGTCCAGGCTGGAAATCTAAGAACGCCCCAGCCTGGATTTAAGAACGAACTCCAAGATTTTTAAGAACTCGACATTTGTCCTTCATGATCTTGTCCGAGTACACGAAAAACAAGTCCGCAACTACAAACTCTTGTCGGGTCCTCGCGAAAACATCACCCAGTGCAGCGCTACATACTACACGTGCATGTAAAGTGTACAACCGGTACATGTAGCGCAAAGGGCATTGTACATGAGCGTCACGGGTCATGTTGGACGCGTAAGAACGCGAAATAAGAACGTAGCCTGGGGCGCTGAAAAATAAGAACTTTGCTAGGTTGGCCCTCTGGAACCGCGTTCTTGGACGTACGAGTTGTTGTTGTTGTTGTTTCTTTATTTTTACTTCACCATATGAACAGGCAAGACTGCCTTCTCACCGGGGCTATTGGCCCACGGCTCTCACAATATGATGAAAATGTTTCAAATGTGTATGAAGAAGAAAGGAACGGAAAAGAAGATGAAATGAAAGGAAAGAAAACAGTAGGTATTAATTTTATGAAGGGGGGGGGGGGTATGAAATGGGTATTATCATAGTTGATGAGAGAAGTATGATATCCAATATTCTTGTTCTATAGACTATTTAGTACGGGCATTTCATGAGAGTCATGCATGGGCAAGGCAGGATTTGGACTAGGATAGAGGACAAGAACATAATTGATGAGCATCTGTTCAGGCAGAATCTGTGAAGAAGACATGGTAGGCACAACATCGGAGAGCTAGTTGAGGAGGGAGATAAGGTCATAGCCAGACAGCAATGCTTGAAACGTGTGGCGTACGTCGCAAGCGCGAATATCAGCAGGGAGAGAGTTCCATGTGGTACTGCCAACAAAGGCGATAGAGCTACGGCCTGAGGGACCAGGTAGGAACGGCACTCTGAGCAGCTGGCTGACCTGACCACGCGTGACACAACTTCTGTCCACATCCGTGGCAATGAGGGAGTAGTAGGATGTGAACAGTGAGCTGGCTCTGCCATGAAGGCAGCGGAAGACGAAGAGAAGCAGACGTTGCACGTACAGCTGGTGGAGCTGAGGCATTGATGGTCTGGCAAATAGGGGAGCAGTGGGGGTCCTTCTGGGGAGTTGGAAGATGGCTCGTATGCCAGACTTAGCAATGCGTAGCAGTCGATGTAGCAGCAGTTTGGATAGAGCGGGAAAAGAAACAGTTTGAGGCATAGCAGAGAACAGACTGGATCATACTCATGTACCAGGCCCGGCGGGCATTGAGTGAAAGGCACCGTCCATGGCGCCAGAGCTGCCCGATTGTAGTAGCAGTCTTGCTGGCAATAAAGTCCACTTGGGGCTTCCAGGACAGTTGGTCATCAAGCATGACACCGAGATACTTCGTGACTGGAGTAACATCGAGCACTGTGGTACCACACTTCACTTCAGATGGTCCATCCAGACACCCACGGGGTCTCACAAACATAACTTGGGTTTTACTGGCATTTAACAGCAGACCAATGTTGTCCAAGTACTCAGCGAGTCGTGTTACAGCGTTAGAGAGAACAGAGCACACTAAATCAGGCTGATAGTCGCAGTAGTCCAGAGCCACATCATCAGCGAATTCCTGGTGGCATACACTACCTGGTAGAACTGACGACATATCACTGGTGTACAGTACAAAAAGAAGAGGGCCCGAACGCTGCCTTGAGGCACTCCTCGGGAGCATCCAACATATTGCGAAACTGAGTGTTCCACCCGTACACACTGCTGCCGCTCCGAGAGATAACTGAGGAACCATTCCAGTGGTGTGTCACAAATGCCAAGGTCAAACAGCGAGTCTACTGTAGCCCAGTGTAGGTCATCAAGGCGGTAGACGGTGTCGTATTACCCTCGACCGTACCTGTCCCGTACCTGTCCCGTACCTGTCCCATACCGTACCATCAAAGACGGCTGGCCACAATGCATATTCAAATAGGGCTTTCAAATGCAAGATCATAACGTGAATCAACTTGGAAGAATTATAGTATGTATGCGAAGTGTATCGGGGGATGCATGCAGGGCGATAGTGCGGGTTCGAATCCCAGGTTATGTCTT